ATGGTACACCCACATCTTGAATGCTGCATGCAGATGCGGTCGCCCCATCTCAAAAAAGATATATTGGAATTGGAAAAGGTTCAGAAAAGGGCAACAAAGGTGATTAGGGGTATGGAACAGTTTCCATATGAGGAGAGATTAATAAGACTGGGACTTTTCAGCTTGGAAAAGAGACGACTAAGGGGGAATATGATAGAGGTATACAAAATCATGACTGGAGAAAGTAAATAAGGGAATGTTATTTACTCCTTCTCTTAACACAAGAACTAGGGGTCACCAAATGAAATTAATAGGCAGCAGGTTTAAAACAAACAAAAGGAAGTATTTCTTCACACAACACACAATCAACCTGTGGAACTCCTTGCCCAGAGGATGTTGTGAAGGCCAAGACTATAACAGGGTTCAAGGAACTAGATAAGTTCATGGAGGATAAGTCCATCAGTGGCTATTAGCCAGGATCGGCAGAGATTGTGTCCCTAGCCTCTGTTTGCCAGAAGCTGGTAATGGGTGACAGGGGATGGATCAGTTGATGATTGTCTGTTCTGTTCATTCCCGCTGGGACACCTGGCGTGGCCACTGTCAGAAGACAGGATACTGGGCTAGATGGACTTTTGGTCTGACCCAGTATGGCCATTCTTATGTTCTTATACCAAACCTAACATAAAGAAGACTAACTTGTTAGGTGTTTCTTTAAAAGTTTCATTTCAAATCTTTTCATTTCAAATAGTAAATGCTTGAAATGCTGACAGATAAGTCACAGGAGTAATTTAGGGCCTAATCTTGCATGCTCAAATTCCCATTTTAAACCATCAGGAATTTTTCCTGAGTAAGAACAGTTCTGGCCTATATAGTTTCATCCACGTGGTTCCAAATGACATGTACAATTTTTTTAAAATAATTTTCGCTATTTTTTCAGTTTTTACTTTATGCATCTGACAGCACTTTTGAGGCCTGAGTTCCAAGGGCAGATTCCCTTCAGCGGATGCATTTTTAGCAATGAGGAAAGGACCCCAGCTCAGGCACATTGAGTTAGACTTGGAAGTAGACGGTTGGAATACCTTAATAATCACAGTGTAGATTCCAGCCAGCACTCAGCTCTTAAAGGGACCATCCACTCCAAGAATGTAAATGTTCTATTCCTCAGATTCAAAAGGTTCATCACCAAGGTGTTGCTGGAGCCCACTTGTCTTGGTTGTGAGGCACTCTAAAGTGCTGACTCTTTTCAGATCTGAGCCTCCTAGCTCTGGGACCACAGTGAGAATGGAATGACACTGGCAGTACAGAGCACTATTACACAATGGTACAGAGAGCTACCAAGTTTCAAACATTTTAGTACATTGGAAAAGAAAGACTTATAATATGATCTTATAAATGCAAACAACTTCGAGGAAAAAAATCTTACAATGATTTGATAGAAGTGGGAAGGTAGACATATCAACCTTGTCATCTCAGCTAATGGAAGGACCCAAAAGTCAGAACTCATAAGTAGGTTCTAATCTGTGCACAGAGAGCACATGCCCACCCTAGACTGTGGATCTGCATCAAAAGTACTCAGATTACAATGCTGTTCCATTTTCAAAAATAAGCATTTGAATAGTCTCTTGGTTCTTATCACCATAGTGTATAAGACTGGTTGGTTTTAACAAAGTAAATCTATAACTTTCAGCATGGAAATCCTGCCAGATCCTGGCAAACGTCCTTTCTGTATAAAGCCACCAATTCTCTGCCTGGCTAGTTCCCGGGGGCAGACGACCTGGGCAGGAGGCTTAAATCCTCCATTTTAATGTTGGCTATATATGTTTTGCTTTGTTTTTAAACTTAACTAAAATAACTTTCCCAGAAACCAACATGGAAATTGACTAAAGTCTCCTATTGAACAGCATTTCTCTGCAGTATTAGGAAGCCCCAAAGAAGAGAGACGCCCAAGAGAAGCATTTCTTTTTATCACACCAGCACCTGCCTTGGGAAAGGGGGGAGGGAACTGATGCACTGAACTGGGGTAGAGATGCAGGTACAGTGAAGGATCAGAGGCACCGTGTACTGTTCATCAGAGCTGCCTCTGCATTTCAGATGGAGTAAGCAGAAGGATTCCAAAGCTGCTCTTCCTTGTTTATTCTCTTCTCAGTTTGTCTCAAAGAGGTTAAAACATTTATAAGGCTTCAACAATTAGAGTAAAATTGCAGTCTGTAATTTCCCTGTCTGCTTAAATGCTTTTCAGAGGTATTTGGTACAAATGAATATATTGTTAAGATAAGGTTAATTCCATTTTTGTATCTGGGAGACAGAAGGAAAAAAATAGATGCAGCCCTAGTATTCAAAATCTGTACTTTGACATCCTCTCTCCAATTCCGCATCTTCACTTCTTTAAAGGATAACTCTCTTCTGATGGAATTTTTCTGCAGCATGCTTTCACTTTTGGATCAATTTATTTTACCTATTTTTTTAAACTCAATTAATTTAATCCAGCAACTCTTTTCCCTCCCAAATACTGGTTTTGATCTTTCATATAAAGATTGTTAGTTGTTAACTAATGTAGATTTTATCATATATGTTCTTTTTCATACTCTTCCTTGGGAAGTTTTCTGAGAAGGAATCGATTCCACTTAAGCATCTATCCAAGGATACCATTAGGCCTTACGTCTCTTTATGAAAAAGAACTGTATTGACTAGAGTTTGGATTTATCCTAGAAAACTGTTACCTCTCTATTAGCAGCACGGTGACCAACACCATGTGTCTAAAACATCATGCAGTTAAATTGGTACAAAGCCATAATGCAATGAATACAAGCAAAAGAGAAAACAAACCAAATTTAAAATCATAACTTTGTTGGTGCCTTTTGCTGGCAATTAAGCCACAGCTGTACACATTTACATACATATTTTGTATATTAAATTGAGCTCACCTGAGGGCCCAATCGTACAACGAGCCAAGCATCTTCTGGGAGTTACTACTAAGCATTCTCAAATCTCATTAAAGTTAACGAGGGTGGGAGATGCTCAGCACCTCACAAGCTATTCCCAACTGGTTAGTTTAAAAAAAAAAAAAAGGAGGAGGAGGATGTTTTTATCTTACTTTCCTCATAACAGCCTAAAGTATCCTGCACTGAATGTCAATTTTAGTTTTTTAGATAGTTCAGTAAATAATAGATTAGGAGTGTATTTTATATATATATATAAATCAATCAATTGTTTTATCCCTTATGGACAATGCCACACTTTAAAAACACACACATGTTGCTGTTTGCTGGATTTTAGGTTACATTCCAAGGGTCTAAAACCCTCTGCCCCTAAAAAAGAAAGCTACTGTGTCCCAGTGTAATATTAAACAGGGAAGACTACTGGAGGTACAAAGGGGATGAAATGGGGTGGGAGTATGTGTGGGAGAGGTGAGGGGGCGTTATTTCTTATATGTGGTCATTGCTTTGGTTCTTCTTACCTGTTTTATATCAGAAGATAAGGATTTTCAGCATTTCTGTGTTCAATTGTTTAATGTTTTTCAGAAGTTTGATTCTGTCCAAGAAATCATTGACTTCTACACATGTGTTCCCATTACACTTATTGATGGAAAGGATAAGTCTGGAATCCAGAGAGAACAATGTTACCTAACACATCCTTTTAAGTTGAACAGAAGATGCTTCTTACCCTAAGTGATTTCAATCTGTTTGTATAAATGTAAAAATAAGAACACTTTAATATTTAAAATCTGTGTAGAAATTAGATTAGATTTGTGTTCAACATGAATACAATGAAGAGTTCTAATTCTTGAGAAAAGTCTATGAAATGTGATTTCTCATATATGAGACTAGATCAAATTGTACTCTGCTGTGCGTGATTAAAATTAAGTAATATACAAAAGTGAAACTTCAAATAAAGGGTGTTGCGGCATGTACAAATGTCATAGTACAACTGCACAAAAAGGTATGAACAGCAGCTAACTTCTGAGCAATATTTTCCCTGTCTTGCTGATAATTGATAAATTGTTTGATTGCTTATATTAACAAAACCTCTCTGTTATTTGAAAAGTCACTAGGAATACAAAATAAATCCATGAAACAAAACAATGTAATATATTAGAATTTCATTACAAAATATTCCTGCATTTAAACTCAGAGAAGTTGCATCTAACTTGGCACTTATACTGTTTAACCTTTTCACTACTGGTGCAGACTACAGGTGGGTTTTAAACAATGGAATCACCTGCTCAGTAGGGGACCAATCCATGAAATCAATTACAGTCTTTCAACAGACTTCAACAACCACTGGATCAGACTTTAGGGCTGGCCTCCATGAGATAGTCATCCCTAGTAGTAAGACTTAACAGTAATTATTCTTTAGCTCCAGCAACAGAGGCTTGCATTTAATTCCCAATTCTTCAAACCCTTATGGAGGTAAGATTATTCACGCAATTAGTCCCACTGAATTCATATCCTTTGCAAACTTGAGAGAAAATCATAGTCAAGAGGCACTAGACTAGAGCATAATTCTGGCCTCTTTAAAAATACACACACTAAAGTTTGTACAAAAAGGATTTTACACACACCATTTGAGATTTATAAGGTTTCTGTAGGTTTCAGAGTAACAGCCGTGTTAGTCTGTATTCGCAAAAAGAAAAGGAGTATTTGTGGCACCTTAGAGACTAACCAATTTATTTGAGCATAAGCTTTCGTGAGCTACAGCTCACTTCCTCAGATGCATACTGTAGTTTAAATTCAGCTTGAATGTATAGGGCAAACCTTGTTTCTGATGATTAAAATGTAATAGAAAACAGAATCAGTCATGGGTCTTTTAACAAATCAGGAACAAGAAAGAGTATCTTGTCTGACAGGATGCAGGAAGAAAATTGTTATAGAACCCAAATAGGGTATTCCAACCCCTGTTCTAACTTCTACTGGGTTCATCAAGGTGCAGATCTGCCCTGAGAATCTGAAAGCCATAACCAACTCCCAGACAGCCTCTCTCCTGGAACATACTCCATCAAATGAAGCTCAGGACAGAAAGAATCTGGGTCACACTCTTTATCTCAAGTCACAAAACTATTAAAATTCCAGAAGGAAAACTATCCAAATACAATACTACATCAATAAATAAATAAATAAATAAAAATTTAGAGACACACCCATCTGGCCAGAATTTGGATGTCCTTGGCAAGAGAAAAAGGCATGAGATCTGCTGTCAAATTTTTATATCCACCGTACAATTCAATTTACTAAAAATGTTCATGTTAATACAAAAACACTTATATTTTGTAAATTTAATACAGGGAGAACAGTTACATGTAGATTAACAAATGAGATACAAAAAACAGTCTTTGTTTACTAAAATAAGCAAAGAAAAACACCCTAAACCATCTACAATCTGTTTATAATCCTGCACGCAACACAATTTTTAAGAATACAAAATTGATTAAAGATTAAAAGATGTCAGTCATATTTTGCCAAACAAACAGAGGATTCAAAAGTATTTCCTTAACAGCTTCTACAGAAGCTCAAGTAGGTTCAAACATCTGCCTGGGTGGATGAATGTAAGTGAGAACGAATTTGGCCACAAGTGGTTTTTCATATGTTAGCAGTTTCAATATTTATTAAAATCTGATATGACAGATTTAGAATTTGAAACTATTTTCACAATTTAAAAAACTGAAACATGATGTTTCGCTTCAAAGAACACAAAGTGAAAATCTCTACTGTACCAGTCTAAAAAAATATAAATTCCTGTTTCAAAATAAGAACGGTCATTTAATTACTGAAAAAAACAGAGATAATACAAACTGTATTCCATTGAACAGTTTAGCCTTTCACTATGATACAAAAAGTTGCAAAGTAATACAAGATCTCCTTTCTGAAAGCACCAAATATCTAAAGATTTTAATATTGTATTGCAAAATGGTCTGACAGAAAAGTTTCACATTACTGTTTTTGTAAATTAGACCCAAGTCTCAAGATGTGCTTTATAGTTTCAAAATATTTACATTTCAATACAGATATAGTACATACCTTATCAAAACCATGTTTAATTTTCTAGAGTATAAAAAAAAACAAAAAAATATTCCCAGATTAGTAGGTTGTTGCGGGGGCTGGAGGGGTTGTGGGGTTTTTTGTTTTGTTTTTTTGTTTTTTTAACAAAATGTGTTTTTCCACTGTTAACAATTAGGAACTACAGGCATTTATACAAAATTCAAATGTATAATATATCTCCAGCATCAAATTAATTATTTTTTTACCTGTAGAAATGTGACTGCAAAATGTGCGCTCAATTCATCACTTGCTGTACATGAAATTTAAAAAAATAAAATGGTTCACAATTTGTGACAAGATAACCGAGAAAATTCTATACATGTACAGTGGCCAGTTATTAAACTTCACTATCAACCATCCTCCTTCCCCACTAAAAACTCACCTTCATTCAGCAAGGCACTTAGCACATGAATCATCCTATTGACTTCACTGAGTAGTCACACAGCAATCAATGGGAGTTGATTAGGCATGTGCTTATTATTATTATTAGTAAGTAGCTTGCTGAATTGAGGCTTACATGTGTAGATTCTAACATGCAAAATCTTCAAATTTAGGATGTCAAAACAAAGATTCTACAGAAAATGTGGATAGGTACTGGCAATGTAGAGTTCTGCAACATAATCTCTCTTTTTCAAGGCAGCAGTTTGGTTCTCCAGCTAGTTCTTCCTATCTATGCACTAGCTGCTAGGCTGGCTGGGGTCCTGGTTAAAGGCTCTATCCTGAAAGTATACATTTCTAATCGGATTACACATAGCACTGATCATTATGCCCTACAGCATGCACAATCCATCGGAATCACATCATGCCAGCCAGTAAAGAAGCCAGACCTCATTTCATGCACTTTAAGTTGAGCTTCTGCTTGCTTGCACAGTAAGTAGTCACCTGTGTCCTCTTCCTGCTCTTACACTTGTGTGGCACAAGACACAACTTGGCCCGACTGTACAACACAGAATTAAGCTTTCCTTGCCACTCCACATTGTGGGTCTGATTCTGATCTCACCAATTCCTCATTTACACTGGTGTAGCTCCACTGAAGTCAGTGAGGAGTTACTTCTGTTCCTTAAAATTGGAGTTTAATCAGATTCAGCACCAGTTTTTCCCCACTATGGCATTTTTTTTAAATTTGCTACTAAATTATGATGAACACAATTTTTTTATTCATAAGAGTCAAAGATACTCTTCATTAGACTTATGCCTGACCTCTGAACCATTAAGCTGTAGTAGTAAAATTCAGACTGAATTCAATTAATTTCACACAGGTCATATAGTTGGATATTTTAAATCCCTATTGACCTCGCAACATAACGTTACTGCATATAGTGTCCTAGTGAAGAGAATTGCACTAGAATGTTTTCAGAGCAAATCATTTCCAGGTCTCTTTCAAAAAAGCAAGGGATAGCCATAACACTTATTTCAGGCATCCAAGTGCTATGTAGTGTTTAGTGCTCAAGAGTGGCTTCTCATACAGTTTATAATTCCTATTACCACTCTCCCACCTGCCAAATATAAAAACCCTCCAGTAAAATATTTACTGTCTCCCTTTCCAAACAAATTAATGGCACTCATGTTAAAATAAGAGCAGTAAACTGACAGTTTCTCACTTGTGGCTTTCTAGAGGAAGAAAAAGAACATCCCAGCCTTTGGTTGCTTCTATCAAATGTCTCTGTCCATGACTTATCCATTCTTCCTGGTCTACATATATCCTTCCACAAAACCAACACTTAAACATACACTGCAGTGTTTTAGCTGGTGAAGTTTCCACTACCCGGTAGTTGTTTTTATGGGTCTTTTTTAGCTTCATTTTTAAAAAGTTCTGCTTTTTCATTTGGCTTGTTGTTTCCAAGTTCTGAAATGTAAGCCGTTTATTATACTGTTTCACACCAAGACAACTACTCGTTCTTTCTGATAAAACAACTTTCACAATATTGCCTTTATACTTGTTGACAATTTTCATTATATTAATTACCTCTGCTGAATCAACATCAGGATGATTTAATACAACTACAGGCTGGTTACGACGAGGACATTTTATCAACTGATGTTCTCTAAGTGGTACAAGCCTAAGACGCCTTGCTGTCAAAAGAGGCATCGCCTCAGAAATGCAACTGGTTTCTGAGTAAATTCTTGTTTTCTTCTTAGACAAATAATCCCTGGACTTTGCTTGTTTTACCTTATTTTTGGGTCCAAGTTGATCCTTTGAAGTAAGTTTGCTCTGCTTACTTAGCTCATCACTTTTTTGATGCAGTGGTATAAAATTTTGTTTGCTATTACTTTTTGCATTAGCCTCTCTTTTTGGTCTGTGCCTAAGTGACATATTTTGATTTCTGGACTGCTCATTAAGTTCACTCTCATTTGGCAAAGGTAGGTTACTGCTTAGTTTCTCAGAAATGCTGAAAGGAACTGGTCGTGGTAGAAACATTTCGTTACAACACATCGTAGCAGATGACATTTCATTCTTATCTCCTTCTTCTTTTGTGTTCTCACTCCTAGTGACATTCAGGACCTTCAGCACTGTCCCTTTTGGAATGAACACTGGAGTAGCAATGTGAGTGTTTTTAGTCATTCTACTTTTAGCTTTTGTTGTAGCTGACCGTGATTGTGATGGTTGTTTATTACACAGTTCATTACCAATCCCACCATTCTGTGGTGTTTGAAGTGAAGATGCAAACTGTTCCAATTCAGTAGCAGGGACTTTTTTTTCAGAATTTGCTAAAGTTTCCTGAGGCAAAGGCATCTTCTTATTAGAAGCACAACATCTAACAGGCATAGGTGAAGCAACCAATGTAGATTTCACATTACACTCCGCAGCGGACATCAACTGAGCAATCTTTCTACACAACATTGTTGTTGACTTTTTATTGCATGCAGTATTATCCCACTTGATTCCCTCTGGGATGTTTTCAGCCCCAGAGCTAAGGGAAAATACAGATGAAATGACAGGACCCTCAGGAGGGCTGTCCTTATTTTCTACATTCTGCAATTCTAAAGCTTCTAAAGGATTATTCTGACAATCAGAGATCTCTCTGTTTAATTTACTTAAGCCAACACTTGATTCCTCTAAACATGAACTTTTATTTAAAGAGAACTCTCCCCATCCTTGAGAAGTTTTAAAAGATTCTTTAACCAAACAGGTATCAAACAAATGTGTTTCCAGAGAGCTAATGATCTGGCTCCTGCATTCTTTGTCATCACCATTAAAAGGCAATATGTCCTTTTCTCCAAGGGCAGGAGATGAAGAGGAACTGTTGCTCTTCTGAGCCGCCTGCAACAAAACAGTCTGGGATCTATCACTTTCAGAGGAAGCAGCATATGCACGTGTGGACATGTCCAGGGCCTCTTTAGAACAGTATAAATCATTTTTTGCATATTTTTCCTTATTTGAGGATTTAGGACAACTTATTTTTGATTTATCCTGCCTAGGTACATTTGAGTTACAGTCAGAATTGGAGGAATTAAGACATTCAGAGTTCTTTTTGTATTTATTATCCGAAGCAAGCATGTTACTAACACTAGATAAATTTACAGTTGCTTCAGTGGTTAATTCATTTTGAGCAACAGAAGTTATTCTTTTTCCTTTCTCTGTTTGTTCTGCACCTTGATTCCCGAGTTCCTCTTCTTTACAGTTTATAGGTTTATTACTTGTTTCTTTCAGAGGAATAAGTTTAAGAACCAACTGCTGTGTGCCATTCACTATTTTTATGTCTAATAACTGAGCTAAGCAGTTAGAAGGAACTACAAGTTCTGAAGGTGCAATCACTGTTAATGGCATTCCTGGCTGTACGGGCTCTTTTTTTGGAGAATAAACTTCAACTTCCACATTTTGGTTCTCATATATGTTTACTTCAGCTGGTTCCAATACAGTTTTATCTTGGACTGATGTCGTACCTAGGCTACATTCTACATCGCCAGACAAACAAACTGTTTTGTTCATTTCATCTTGCATTTTGCTGCAAGTTGTACTTGATGATAAATCTGAAGGCTCATTCCGAAGAGGAATTTTTTGATCACACTTCTGCTTTTCAGAAAACAAAGTGCTTCTCTTTGGTAAGCAAGATCTCTTTTGCTCTTGTTTTGTAACCATATTCATTGGCCCCTTCTCAGTAACTGTTTCATGTACTCTTCTGGTATGTTTTACTATATAATCATGCCTAACAGCACCATATTCACAGTATTCACATTGATATGGAAAAGTTCCAGTATGTTTCACCAAATGCCGTTGGAATTCTCCTTTGGTGTAGGATACATAGCTACAGTGGGCGCACACAAATTTAATCTCCTCATGCTGAACAACATGCTTTTTATACTGCAAAGGATCCTTTGTTGAAAATCGACATTTATCGCAGTAATATTTGTCTGGTTGAAAGTTTTTTACTTTAAATGTTTTCTGAGTTTTACTTAGGGATGGTTTTTCTTGATTTTCTAAATCTATGGCAGTGGCACTGTCAGCTACACAATGGAAAGTCGATGGCGTATTCAGACTGCACCTGCGGCAAATGAAACTTTTGTCTTCAGTCTGTCTGGGTTTGTTATGCTTTAGTAAGTCAGGCACTAGAAGTTTCTGCACGCTTCTGCACTTTATACAAAGGACCAATGGCAGCTTATCCTCAGCTTCATCCCCTTGATAGACACAGTTCTGGCCTTCAGTCCCTTTTGGTTGATTTGCTTCATCCTCATTGGCTTGCTTTGGAGATGTAGTCAAAGAATTATTTATGTCATTAACTTGGCTTGTATACAGTTTTGGTAAAATTTCCCTCATTTTCTTTATCTGCATTTCAAAACAAGTGGCTCTTGCCAGTTTAGTCAAATACAATGGCAATGGACACAAACAATTTTTATAGTGACAGTCTCTCAAATGTGTTGCTTAGTTATCGTTCAGGCAACTGCTCTGGAGAGTGTGTATTTTTATCTTTATGAATAAGTATTGCTTCAAGTTCTGAAACCATAAAACTCTATTTTCAGTTCTCTACTGGATTCTCTCAACTTGCAGCACTAAAAAATAAAAGCGAAAGACTGGGTCAGTTAGTGAAAAAACACTTTGAAAAATTGTTGTTACTTGGTAAGTAAAATATTTGCAGTATAATAAAAATAGCTGACTGTTGAAATACAGTTTGCAAATCTGTTTCTCTGCTTTATTAGGCATATAGTACATACAACCATTAAAGTGTACTCAATGTATTCTTTCACAGGTGCTTACATTTTGCAGCTATAATCTGTATTATATAAAATTCACACAATACAGTGTTCTATGGTATTCTCTCCTATGTATTTTTTTTAATTCTTTAAAAAAAATGAAATTTGACATAAGGTTACTGAAGCAGAGAGAAACCTCTCTGTCATTTGAGAGCAAAAGCCAAATTATCAAATGGACACTAGAATACATTTCCATGTCTTGTTTATGCCGAGGACTGAGAAGAGGTAGGTCTAAAATTTTCTGCCCTTACTCATTCAAATCTACCTCAATAGTCTTTGTATTTGTTATCCATCAAGATCACATTCCTAATTACCATGAGTTTGTCTACACCAAGGGGATTTTTAAGCTATTTGGAAATGCTTCAAATATGTAACCTCACTAAAGCAAGGTTCTCTTAGTCAGTGTCAAAGTTTTTAATCAAAATAAATTTGGATAATCATAAAAAAGCATGTAGCTTACAGTTGGCCAATCCTACCACTGATAAGGACAAACGAGTTTATTTGATGTACATTTTTTTATTATTTGTATTGCAGTGCTGCACAAAGACCCAAGTCAAAACCAAATCCCCACTGTGCTAGTTACTGCATAGGTAGAGCCCTTCATGGATACAAATGTATATCCACGGATATAAACCAGAATCCGTGAAACTGCAGAGCTCTCCCGGGAACCACAGTGGCAAAAGAAGCAGAACGTGGGGCTGTCGCTCCCAGGAGCCAGTGCCCTGCTCTGGCAGCTCCTCTGGCACAGCTGTACCACCCCCAGCCTTGCTCCCATCCCTTCAATGCAGCTGTCTGCGTCTTCTGTCTGGGGGTGTGCATGCCACTTGAACACAAGAGCGCGACCAGGGATGGCTGCCGGTGAGCCTGATTACCACCTCAATGGGTGGGGCTGAGGGCGGTACAGCCGCGCCAGAGGAGCTGCCAGCACAGAGCACTGGCTCCTGGGAGCAGCAGCCCCACATTCCGCTCCTTTCGCCACTGCAGTTCCCAGGAGAGCCCTGTGGTTCTGCGGATACTGATTTATATCCATGGCTGTCCGCATCCGTGGGTATAAATTTGTATCCATGCCGGGCTCTATGCATAGGCATACGATCCCTGCTCTGAAAAGATTACAATCTAATTTGAATACACAAGATGCAACAGGTAAGAAACGGAAAAAAAACCACACAAACACAGTGGGACAGAAGATGGAGGACAATGGCAAACCATGTAGCATTAGCCTACACAAAATGACAGGTTTCAGAGTAGCAGCTGTGTTAGTCTGTATTCACAAAAAGAAAAGGAGTACTAGTGGCACCTTAGAGACTAACCAATTTATTTGAGCATAAGGTTTCATGAGCTACAGCTCACATCCAATGAAGTGAGCTATAGGTCACGAAAGCTTATGCTCATATAAATTGGTTAGTCTCTAAGGTGCCACTAGTACTCCTAAACAAAATGTATTTCACAACCTGATAGTTCCAAAATTCTTTGAACAACAACAAAGAGCAAAGGAGTTTTTTTCCTGTGGTTTTTAAACTTCATGTAAATAGAATCTGATCCTCAGCTGTTGCCTAGATTGTGAGAAAGCTTATATGTTAAAAAATAAAAAGTTTTGTCCTCAAAGCATGCACAAAGCTCAATAAAGATTAATGATTGAAACTCTCCTTCTGTGTCGCACCTACCCAAGAAGCAACATGTAAAATCCATTCACATCTTCCCTGTACAAGCATTTCTATATATGAAGATGCCATTGCATAATGCTTATCTAGGTACGGAGACATTTCTAGATGATGTTGCATAGCAACATAACAGTCAGGAGTCACCCTCTCCCCTCCCCTTGCTTACTTATAGGTAAGTAAGGTTTGGGCTATTGCCCCAAGAGCATGATGTTGGAATTACTTAGTAATATCATATGAAGGCAATGCCCATGTGAAAGAGGACACTTTTACACAATGATGTAAGTCTTAGTGTCAGCCTGAACTTTGGTCGGAATGAGTTCCAGAGACCTTCCTTGTGAATGCACTGTGAGTTCATTTGATCTTGAATCTGTGTTCCATCCATTAGTCTTCTTAGGAAATACTGCCATGGAAAGGGATTGATTCTCAAAGATATCTTGGTTTTAAGTCCATCCAGGGCTTTGAGGAATTACCTCAATTTTTATGAAAATCAAATGGCAGCCAATATAATTAATAGTACTGTGTTATGTACTTTTACTGGTTCACTCCACTTAGCAGATTAGGCGGTATGTGCTGAATAAAACTGTAGTTTGCTGATAGCCTTTTGGATGAAGCCAAATTGTAGTAATCCAGTCTCATGTGGTAATAACTGTAGCTAAATTCACATCTGGAAGCAATATTAGACTCCTGCGCAGCCAAAGGTTGGCTGTTGTACAGCCATCTGGATGTCTATGAGTAGGTTTTATGACTCCAATGCTTTGACAATATTGACAATTGGAGGGTATGTGCCCTCATTAGAGAACTAGATGAAAATTCCTATTTGTCCCACATAGGTTTGTCTCTCTTCATACTAGTATCACGTCTGTACTAGTATCCAAGACTAGTATCCAAGTCTTTATTTCTTTTGGACATAAATATGACAGGCGTACCGCTGTGTTTCAGGTCAAGAAGATGATACAGCACTTTACTTGATGTTTATATTGGTGTTAAATTTAAAATACATTTTCTTCAAAACTGTTGCATCCACACAATTGTTTTGAAGCTGTCTGCAGCACTGAAATCTTAATGAAACTTTCTCTCAATAGCAAGGATGAAATGAACATAAATGTTCTCATTCTCAATCCTAAGCATTTTTAAAAAAAAACAAACTATGTGCAACCATCCATAGACAAAATAATTGCACTTAACCAAATAGGGAAACAAAACCTTCTGGCTTCAGCTGCCAATTACATGATCACAAAAAAGAGCATTAAAAACTCAAGTGTTTTCCTATGCTATTAAAAAAACCTAGCAAGGCAATTTTCACAAAATATGAAAAAATGAACAAAAGTGTATCAAAGAGGCAGGCCTTAGCAGAACACGAGAGATTTTGAAGTTTTTTTGCAACAAAACTATTTAAAGATCGTTTTGATTTAATAGACATACAACTGAGCTATCAGTTGAAAAGCTGAAAGTCTGATACAGTAGAAACTGAACTGGGATATTTTCGATACTCTATTGTCCCTATTGAGTTTTCTGAACCGAACAGACCTTATATTTAGAAGAAATCCTGTATTTAAGCATGTGGCAAACCCCATGTTCAAATTAAATTTGTATTAGAATCAAGAGAATGAAAATAAAAAGAATCATTCAAATAGTGTTCTGGGAAAAAAAAAGATTAAACAGCAATCTGTCGTCTTAATGACATGCCCTGTTTTCTTTGCCAAGTCCCATCACTGGTTATTCTTGAGTGCTGAAAGTCCAATCTGGAAGGTTTTGGTGTGAAGGGTTCCATTTTGTCATTGTGTGGGATAGAATGAATGAGAAGAAGAGAAATATAGATGTTTTAATAAGATGTGAGAATATTCCAGAACATGGTGACTATGAATTGTGCAAATCCACACAGTCTCAGGAGGCAACATACTTCCCATTCACTACACACCAGCATGACAAATTATGTAGAAAAACTGGACACTTTGTAGCCTACCTTTATACTCTTCAAAGTATTCATAGAGATACAATGCAGAAGGTTAACTAAAGGAAACAGTTTCTTCAAAGTGCAGCATAACCCAAAAGAGCACAGAAAAGTACGGATGACTATAAAATCCAAAGGCATCATTTTGTACCTCTGCTCATGTCCAGCAGCAGCCCATATAACAAAGAAAATATTTAAAGAATGGAAGAGAAGAGAATACTGAAAATGTTATAATGTTGTAATATAAATCTCCTGGAATACTGTTTTCAGTTCTAACTGCTACCTTCAAAAGATGTAGAAAAGTATTAATAAATTTTCAGAAACAATATTGTACTAAAAAGCAAGTGAGCCACCAAATTATACCAATGGAACTTTCTTTGGCAGAAATAATGGTGTAGAAGATATTTTGTTTCCAAATGAACTTCTAGCCATGTAGCACAATACTTAATGTATGTGGAGTTCAAAGTTCTTCTCTCTTTAAAAATAAACAGAAATATCAATACACCAGATTTTTTAAAAAGCAAAAACCATACACCAGTTTTTAAAGCTTGCCTTTATTATAACATATACAATTATTTTATATTATTTCACATCCTGCCAACATGTAAAAAAAAAAATCTCCATTTGAATTATATGCAGAACAATTTATTGGGACCTCCTATAACGTGAATTATACAAAATATTAAGTTAAAAACAAACTGGACATTTTTAAAGCATAGCTTAAATGTATTTTGTCCCATGAAAACAAGAATGTATTGTAAACGCACTGCACAGTATTCTAGCCCCAATCCTGTACTGAGAACTACAGGGGTCTACCACATCGTTCAGTGAAGGACAGGGCCCTCAATTTACCTTTTACAAAATGCTGCTATCAACCTCAAGCAGAAAACTACAGAGTAGTCCTATTGCAGTAACCTGACACACGCACCTTGACATGCTAAATATTTATTGCACCTATAGTTACCTTTGTAAAAGGTACTTGAGATACCTACACTTGTTTATGATTAGATGTATAATTGCCAGCCTTTAAAATTAAATATCAGAGTTTTCTGTTGCACACATTTATGCCCATAAAAATAATCCTTCAATAGTCTAAGCTTGTTTAACCAGGGTTTAATATTATACTATTCTATACTTACTAATAAGTAAGGGCTAATAAGAATACAGTAAAGAAGCATGGCATTGAAGAAAACAGAGAACCAAGGGTATGGTGAAGGGTATCCAATTTTAAAAGTATGTATCTCTTAGACCCAGACCCTGGAAACATTTTACTACCATGAGTAGTCCCACTCACAGTCTTCTTAGTAGCAGCATGGAAATTTGCTATTGGAAAATATACTGCAAGACATTTAGCCAAATCTGAGTTAATGCAGGATTATTCCCTACAGCATATTAATTATAAATCACTATTTGTGTTTAAATCCTTTGAGGAAATATATTAATTCTACTACTGTCTTAGGGGAGTTTCTTTTGAAACAAATTACAGATAGAACAGATTTCATTTAATCATTAAAGGAATCTCCTTCCTTAGAAGTTTTTAAGGTCAGGCTTGACGAAGCCCTGGCTCGGATGATTTAATTGGGGATTGGTCCTGCTTTGAGCAGGGGGTTGGACTAGATGACCTCCTGAGGTCCCTTCCAACCCTGATATTCTATGATTCTATGATCTATTCCAGCTCTTCCCCATAGTATTTTATTGTTAATTTGTATATTAATGCCATGTACTAAACCTTCCTCAGTAGCAGAACCACTAACCAAAGTTCCTATTCAGTACCAAGACAAAAGATTCAATAGTAATCTTGGGAAAACAGAGTACGTGTCGATGGAAGGGCTCAGAAAAAGCCTAACCCCATGGCCACACACAAAATTGTTGAATAGCCAGAAGTTGCATCCATGTGGGCTGTGCGCCCAAGGAAACGTTACTGGGAACCGACTGGAGCAGACAGCCTGCTCCCTCCCTGCACTTTGCAAGGCTCAAAGCAGGGTCCCTGATCCCTTCCTTGGGGAAAGGAGACATTCCTCGCCGCCTGTAACTACAAAATAAAAAGGGGGTAGGAGGGGGAAGGTTTTTCCCACTAATCCCCGCAATGCTCCGACCGGCCCAGCGAGGGCAGTACAGCCAGCACGGAGTGCGGCAGCAGCAAGTCCTACCACCCCCGCAGCGACGAGTGCAGCCCCGCCTGGCCCGCAGCTAGGGGGACCCCCATTCCACCGCCCGTGACGAGGCGGGAGCTGGAACAGCAGGACTCGGGGCTGCAGCAGGTCCCGCTGCTGGGGACTCCTCCCACGACGGAAAGGGAGGACGCAGCCTCCCCCTATGGCGGGATAGGGAGGGTGTCCCCTTGGGGCCTACTCGAGGGGCTGCCTCCGCCCGGGAGGGAGAGAGGGGGGCTAGGACAGCCCCCACCTCGGGTCACCAAGGGGGGAGCTGAGGACCCCGAACACCCACAGCTCACCCAGCAGCTCAGACGCCCCCCGCCTCCCTGCCGCGGAGCTGCCAGCAGCGACCCCCATCCGCCCGCCTACGCCTCCCGGGGGGGGGGTCGGGGGAGCAAGAGCGCCCCGTTGCCAGGTACTTACCCTCCGTGGGTGAGCCTGCGCCCCCCACGCGCGCTCAGAGCGCGCCGACGCGGCTCCACGCCCTGCGCCGAGCGCAGCAGCCAGCGAGCGTACAGCGGAACTGACCTCAGCGCCCCCCCCCAGGCGCCGCGCCGCCCGATTGGCCAGCGCCGCCGCCCCGCCCCGCCCGTGGGAGAGTAGAGCTCTACAGAGCCGCCGGGAGCGGGGCGGGCGGCCGCGGCGGCAGAGGGTCTTGTTGGAACGCGCCGAGAGGCGGGCGCGCGGGCTGCTAGTGCCACGTGGGGCTGCCCAGGGCCAGGGCTGACGGAGCCTCCTGCCCTACGGGCTGCGCAAGGGTCAGCTCCACGGGCCCGCTGGGCATGGCAGAGCTCTGCTCGGGCGCGCGGGGCGCTCTGCTCGGGCGCGCGGGGCCCAGCCCCGCCGCTGGGGCTGGGTAACAGTGTGTTCGAAAGAGTCTACAGTGTTTCCTTCGCATGGGCCTGTAACATGGTGGCTTTCGAGGTTGCGGCGCCTACTTGATACATGGAGGGGCATAATAGGGATGAAAACAATCTGTTGCAAAAGGCGATTCACTGTAGCTTCCCTGGGGAGTAAAATAATTCTTTAAACAAAGGAATACTGTGGCAGAATAGTGGGTTCAAGTAAAGTCAGTCAGGGAAATAGTGTGAATTCAGAACATATAGCAAGTGTAAAATCAGCGAGATGTTAAATTTCTCTTACAAACGCACAAACGGACGTTTAGTTTTGTATTGCCCCCGTTTTAGTCTTTCTTTTTCCTGTGATTCTTTGACAGATGCATTTGTTTATAAATATACATTTGCAAAGCACTGGGCACTTCACTGTCATTTTAAATAATCAAGTACATTACTGTTCTTTACATCTAAAACAACATTTAAAAAATAATTTCTCATGAGGGGAAGATGTAGTAAGCATGACACACTATATAGAGATGTTCTGCAGTATTAAAGCACAATGGTGTGCAACATGAATACATGCAAAAATGTACAACTGAATCAGCAGTTAAGTGAATTAAAGCAAATTTTGAAATGCATTATAGTATCTCTATAAATATCACAAAAATACTTCCAAAAGGAACAGTATACATGGAAATATGAATATGCAGGGCAAAATATCTGCATAAACTTTATTCTCATATGTTTGTATGTAGTCTTACATTTTCATTTGTTAAAATGTTAACCACAATTTTGGCTCAGATGATGAGCATTCCCAGAAATAAGGTTTCTGCCAAAATCAAAGATGGTCACATCAGAAAAAGCTGTCAGTAATAGCATGAGGAAAGGTTATTTTATTCCAAGGTGATCGTATTACAGTAGTATGTTATTGCAATTGCTCTTTTAAATATCTCATCACTGCCATTGACTCATGCATAACACTTATCAACGTGTATTTCAATGGGACTACGCAGTAGGGTGATGAGCAGGATTTGCCCTTTAATTAGAGTTCAGTAACAGGATGATGTATGCTTTAACTTTTTATTTGTAGTGGAAACTGTCAAAACAGCTCTTCTTACATGTTATTCTCAGGCATTTTCCAACCAAATCTAAATTTCATTTAAAGGGACACTGGAAATTGGCACAAAAATGTGGGTTTTACAAAACTGCAACACATTTTCTCCCGCAAAACATTACATCTCTGGTAAGGTGTGAAATTGGGTATCTCACTACTCTATTTCAAGACGAAGCCAATTTTTACTTGGGCTACATGGTCCTTTTCGAGAATTTTCACCTTATAATAGAGTCTGTCACTACATAAGATCACATCAGTGGTGCAAGGGGATTTTAACTCTTACCAGTATGATACCGACCCCGCTCTCCCTCACAAAAAATGTTCTGTGACTAGAACCCTGTGCAGATACATAAGAACATAAGAATGGCCAGAACAAAGGTTCATCTAGCCCATTATCCTGTCTTCCCAACAGTGGTCAAAGAACAGGGAATCATCAAGTGATCCATCCCCTGTTGCCCATTCCCAGCTTCTAGCAAACACAGACTAGGAACACCATCCTTGCCCATCCTGGCTAGTAGCCATCAATGGACCTATCCTCCATGAATTTATCTAGTTCTTTTTTGAATTTTACAAATTTATACCTGGCAGATGTGGATATTCATGGGTAGAAATGTGTATCTGCGGAACTGCAGCGGTGACAGGAGCAGAACATGGGGCCACTGCTCCCCGGAGCCAATGCCCCGCGTCAGCAACTCCTCTGGCACGGCTGTACTGCTGCCAGCTCTTTCACACAGCTACATCTCCTGTCTGGGATCTGCACAGCCCCACCAGAAGCCAGGGCTGGGGGCATGGAGCTGCTGGTGCAGGGCACTTGCTCCTGAGAGCGGCGGCCTCGCATTCTGCTCCTTTTGCTGCTGCGGTTCCTGGGAGAGCCCTGCGGTTCTGCGGGTACCGATTTCTATCCCCAGATATCTGCATCCACAGGTATAAATTTGTATCCATGCAGGGCTCTACAATTCATTCTTGAAAATGTGTCTTTCCAGTACGGCGTATTGTCTTAATGGTCCAGCATACCTGGCCATACTGACTTACCTGCACCATTGGCTCACATACACCTGATCAAGGTTATATTCAATTTAGCAAATATCTATTTTGGTTGAATGGGTCCTATGACTGGGACTTATACGGAGTTGTATTTTGTGAGGGGCAAAGTGTCCTTCAGTTCCCATTGACTTCCTTGGGAACCAAGGGCTTAGCTAACCCTCAGCAAGATCCAGATATACACATTGCCTCTGCTGGGCTCCCTTAGATTTGGCTCAGATGCTTGCTGCGCTTTTTGGCTCTTCAAGTGAGAGAGGGAGGAGAGAAGAGAATGGTGCTACCCTTGCACCTGCTACCTACTGGCAGTACTAAAATGAGGGGCTACCCTCCCTGACCTTTCTTACATACTTTTGTTACCCCAAAAACAGAATTTAGATACCCCTTAGAATATCTTACCTATTGCCCCCTTCCAGACTTACCAAGGCTTCCCTCAAAACAGCCCACCTGTTCACCAATCTGTTCTCCTAAGGTATGGGTCTCCAGGGTGGTTAAGGAATATCTTGGGCTTGCCAGGGATTCCCTGTTTCAGAAACTCCTCAGAACAGCTCAGACCTGTTATCCCCAGAGGACACATATACAGCCCTCCTTTTATGATTGACGCAAACAGTGTTCCAAAACAAGGCCCCCTTTAACACAAATCCTTAGCACAATAACAATCTAAAACACTAATCCCTTACAAGAGTTAAAGAGCACCCCAAACCATACTGTCTTATAATTTGAAATGATGCTAAGTGGCTGTGCCCTACTTCCAATGGCCAGTTCTTCACAGGTTGCTGACAGCAGTTCTTAAATGTTCTTTAGGTCTTACATGTATAAATTCCTTTCACAACACAACATATATCTTTATTAACACATGCACACACACGTACACTAACACTATTCGGTACTGTAGCTATAACTATAACTTTGTCTGACAGACTTACTTCGTTGACTATGCTGCACTGACTGTGCACTCTCTCTCTCTCTCTCTCTCTCTCTCTGGATCTCCTCTCTCAGACGTCTCTTTCTCTCCACACCATCTCTATTGTGTGTCTCTCAACTGCCAGCTGACTTTCATACCCTTCGGTCAGAACTTTAGGTGCGTGACGTCATCCTACTTGTTTACCTGCTCCTTCTAACAGTCAGTTCTATTTTTAGACTTGTGATCATTATTTCACCCACTGACTTCTTGTTTACCACCTTTTCCCCCACCAATTTGGTTTTCCTGTCACTTCTATAGTTCCATCTAATGAATGACTCCTGCTGATTCAAAATGGAAGCCAGGGATACAAAATGGAGTCTGGGGACTTTAATATGGAGTTTCTCTGGTATCATTTTGATGTGAAAAAGTTAAAAATGTTGATAAATAATCATCACAAGAATTGCCATTGATGATGTCATAGGGTACAGATGCTGCTGTGTTTTTTGTTTGGTTTTGTTGTTGTTTTTGTTTGTTTGTTTTCAGTGTGAGCCTCACAGACTGGCTCAGGATTGCAGGGCTTGTGCTGTAGGGCTAACAGTGTAGATGCTTGGATTTGGGTTGGAGCCTGGGCTTTGAGACATGGCGGAGAGGTATCTCAGAGCCCGGGCTCCAGCTGGAGCAGGAATGTCTACACTGCTATTTTTAGCTCCATAGCGTTAGCCCCCCAAGCCTGAATCAGTTAACCTGGGCTCTGGCATTTGCTGCCGTGGTTTGTTTTTGTTTTTTTCAGTGTAGATGTGTCCACAGAGGCAGATCAGTGGGGGCAGGGGGCAATTCACAACTCAGAGAGGTATTGTTTCAATTTCTCTGCAAATATCACTACACTGATTACACTTGGTTGACAGTTTCAAGATTTTCTTCACAACCAGAAGGGTTAGACATTTCTTTTAATCAAAATCTGAGAGTCTGGCACACAAGCTAGCAGTAGTTCACATAATTAAAGCCCTCTTAGTCATACGAATGATGAAAATATTAAATTAATCTAGATAAATCTGAGATGATGCAAAATGAAAAAATCATGTTTCATACAACAGAAAGGGAATCATTTATCTGATATTAAAACAGTGATTAAATGTAAAATATCTTTACCCTGGAGTCTATTCTTGCCTGGATATGCATATCTAACTCACAGTGGAATTAATGAGACAACTGTCTATATCAAAGGCAGCATAGTCCACTTAGTATTTAAATAAAATCAAACTAAACTCAAGAATGTTGGAATCAAAATGGCCGCTGTAATGGATAATTTGGAGTAGAGCTGGGTGGGTTTTTCTGCAAAATTTATTCACTGAAAAATGCAGTTTCAGTCAACCCAAAACTATTCACAAGTTCATGCTAAGTTTGCCAAATAGTTTTGATGTAACTGAAATGTTTCAGTAATGTCAAAACAAAACAGTCCATTTTGGCATTGCTGAAACATTTTGATGTTTTGGGATGGGGTCACAAAATGGCTGGAAGAAGAGCCCTTCTTATATCTTTTAGTGCCCAATGGTTAGGGCACTCAGCTGTGATGTAAGAGACAGGGGTTCAGTCTCACCCTTTTATCTGCTGCGGAGAA